AATTTTACAAGAAAAAGCTCAGAACTTTTTTGTACACCTAATAGAATTTATGTAGCAGTTTATGTAGTTATATTTTGTATTTCAGTAATATAATTATATAATTATAAATAATTTAAATAATTATCATGAGAACAAAATAACGAATAATTTGTTTTTTATTTATATGTATAACTATGTATAATTGATTATAAATTTTCATTTGTATTTGGTTAATATAGGTATAACTCATAAATTATAATTTAGTTCTATGTAACTATTAGCTTATATAACTTTTATAACATACGTTTATATTATATAATGATATACATGTAATTCGTATATTGAATACATAAGTAGGTAAACAGGGCCGATTCTGACTCAGGTCCTCTGAGGGGAGCGCGGGGGATTCTTCGGTGGCGGGGGTATGACATCATGCGGAGTGGCAGTAAGGCATCTCAGATTTGGGGACTGCAGTCACATACAAGACAACAAAAAAACATCACAAAAAAAGAAAATTACGATGAACAAAAAACAATACAAAAACAAATAGTTATAAAACGAAAAATTTTAAAAGAGTATTTGCACCGGTATATGCTCCAACCGTTTTTCGACCAAGATATAGCGTAATGTAATTTTTCTAGAAACAACGTTTATTAATTATTTTAAATACCTAAATACGACCAAGTTTCATAATTAATCGATTGAGTGCCAACATCTGGATGCTATTGAAATCGATGATATTGAAACGCAATGTCTCCTTTGATAAAAGAGCCTCGATCGTTTATTCTTTTTTAGAAGGGGTATGACAATTATGTTTTTTGCAATATGTTTCAAGGTTAGTAGAAGCGTAAATGTAAGTGAAACTCGATAGAACTGTATTTTCATAAATTTTTATGAGGGTAGTGTTTTTTAAAGCATACTTTGAAAATGAGCGCATAATGCTCTACTCTGAAAAGAGGGAGTTACAGACGAAAATAAATTCAGTCTAGAAATTACATCACAACTTTTAGATTAAAAATTTTTTTATTTACATTCCTTTTGCATAATTTTTTTCTTACGAACGAAAGACTACAGCTAACAATTCGCAGTCGAGGAGCTGATTTTTATCAAAGTAATCGCTAGAGCATATTACATTTGGTATATCTTTAGCATCCGTTACAGTGGATGCGATATTCGAGAATCGTTTAAACTTTGTATCGATTTTCTCGACGATACCAATCAATTGATCGAATGCTAATTCAATGCATTTATCTAAGTTGAACATAAACAATATTGTTGATTCAGTCATTATTAAACGTACGTCGGATGATTCCAAACATACAATTTAAACATTTTCAAACGTACTGAATCGCACAGTCAGCGGTCTAACGCTAATAGAATTGCCCTTGTGATGATTCCGAAGGCAGTCCTTTCCATGTTTCGATAGATATTAGGTGTACAACTTTGTTTCCGCCGTTTTCCTATAGATGGCTTTAGCGGTAAGTGGTGGTCGAAATAAATAGATAATAGACGTCATTCAATAAACTTGGGCATCTATCAACATAACCCCATAGAAACATTAGTCGATTTGTGTCT